AAAAGTGGTTCTCCTATTTGAATCCCACATCCTGTTCTCATGTCAGAGCAGTCAGTGACCTTGACAGACAACTGTTACTGAGTTTCTCCACTACAGCTGCCCATGGGGACATTTTCTGTTCCATATTCCGCTCCCACCCCTGCCTTAGTGTCCAGTGTCTGCCTTTGATAGATGTATTAATCACCATTGAAAAGTTGTGTACAAAGTCATCAACAGCACCTTCCTCTGCCTTCCTGGGGTCTAAGCTAAAGTGTAAAGAGCCCGGAAGGAAAGCAAAGCTCATTCCAGGCAGTCATTTGCCTGTCCCTGACAAATATTGGCTGAAGATAGGAATAGTGAGAGAGTTTTGTTTAAAGTTATCTTTGAATAAGGACTTTCTGAGTGTGTGGGAGGTAAGGGTGAGTGTGAGTGGGGAGAGGGAATAGACGAATCAAATGTCAGTTTTGAATTTAAAATCAATTACTCCATTTTGAAAGTCAGTATCGGAATTCGCTTGAGCACAATTTCTAGTCTACACTTAGGGTGTTGATTAAGGAATAAGGGGGAAAAGAGCAAATCAAAATCAGCATGATTTCAGTACTTACTATATCACCAGTGAAACAATATTAAAAATATTACCATAGTGAGGTACAGAAACCAGATGAACAATGCAAAACAAGTGGGTTTCTGTGTGAAAGTAGGTTAGCTCTGGCCTTGTAGTTCTACTTTCATAACCTGAACTGAGAAATTATTTGCTTCTCCCTCTTTATCCCTTAGTGTGTTATATGGGCAGAGGATAATGTGGTCCATGCCACAGCTGGATATGCTCTACCAGTCAAGTACAGTCTGTCAGAATAGCCCAGAGCACCTTCTAGGTGACAGGCGTGCTCCTGGCTGGAGTGTAGAGATTGGCAAATCACACTGAAAGAAAACTTCTTTCTTCTGTGCCTTGCCATGTGTACGTAAGCATTCAGCCAGAAGGAAAGTACTCTTGTCAAAACCCGTTACACCAGTTCTGACCTGCACCCTCCTTCGCTATCTGCACTCGGGCATCTGCTTCAGTTTTCTGGTAGTCATGGTACTACCATCCTTCACTGTCGCTAACATCAGTCAGTCACTTATTTTGTTTTATTCTCAGGTGTGGAGACTAACCATTCTTTAGGAAAGCAAATGACAGCTTGGTATAATCTGCCCAAGACAAGAAAAACTGAAGTTTCTTTCAGCAGCAGCAGTTGTTTTAGGGCCTTAAAATACAGGGAAACTTTTCCACGAGTTTCAGTGTTTTGTTGGGGTTTTCTTTTTTTCCTGTTGGTTTTGGAACAGATCCTAACCCCCAAATTGCTTTCAGGTGTTGCAGGATATTAATTGCAGAGTACAATATTATAACAAGAGCCCACAGGATGCTGAGTATGTACCTAAAGGTACATAGCATGCTCTTCTCCATCCTGGCTTCTGTTTGTGAGGCCGAGTATATCCATTAATAGGTAGACAATCCTGCTTTCACATTGCATTTTTCTTTAGCACTTCTCAAACAGCATATTCTTTTGCTGCTACATTAAATTAACTTGTACAACACTGTAACGAATTTCAGAGGGAATTGCAATCATTAGAAGTGTAGCTAGTTCTGTCTAAGCTACCTGTTCAATTTGTATGCTCTGCTGTGTGTCAGAAGCCAGCACTCCGCTCTTCTCAGTTTACATACTGATGCTCTTGCAGAGACAAAATATTCTGAGAAATAACCTAGTTTGCAGAATTCCAGAAGAAAAGGGATTGTTCAGAGTACATTGAAGCTGATTAAGATGTTTGCTTCTTGTCTATCAACTGTTGTGTCTCAAGGTAGCTTGGTTAGAAAAGGGCTGTAGCCTGATTAAGGGGAAAAAAAAATGAGAAAAAAAGATAAACAGTTATACATCTGCATGTATAAGCATTACTGAGTTTTGCACTGATGATGGGTTATAATACCTGGGTGAAGGAAGTTGGCTTGGAGTGTGGCACAAAATTTCACAGAGAGCATATGAAAGCAAGCTTTTTCTGTGCCAGGAAAGAAAACTGTGAAGGGATTTTTTCCCCAACTGAAAACCCTCATAAAACTGGAAGTCTGAACTGGTGGGACACAATTCAGTAAGAGGGAAAAGAAGTTTTTTTGGTGGAGGACTCATTAGTGCAAGAGAAAGCAGTGACTGTAGAATTGCAACTTTGGTAATTAGGTGGCTTTAGAACTAGAGAGAGAGTTATTCCATGAGCTTAAAAATGATTATGGCAAGACTTCTCTGTGGAAAGGGACAGTTGGAAAAACTGACTACACTGAGACCTGGCAGTTTGCCTGAAAGTGAATAGAACAGGAATGAAATGGTATAGTTTATTCTGAGTATGGTTTATACAGAAGGATTCATAAAAGAAGCTGACAAAACTACAGACAGAAAATTGGCTAGAAAGATCACGGCTGCCGAAGAGAAGCAGCTAACTTGGAACCACAAAACCTCAAACATACTATATAACATTTGGATTTTGACCCACCTGATTATGTAGCACCACAAAAGCAAACAAGCAGAACACACAGTGTTCTGGAACAATGAAGCTGCAAAGACATTATGGTAATTTATAGCATCCCAGACCAGGTGATACTGATGTCTTAAAATAGCCAAAATGACTGCTTCTTAATTATAAACATATAACCTGAATATCATGTCACTGACTTGAAAAGAATCAGGCCCTAGACTGTGTTTGGCTTCTGTTCTATGTTATGGGTAATCAAACTGTTTGAAAACATCTCAGATGGCCAAAATGGGTAACTCAGATGAGACATTGCTCTTTGTGCAGAGCAGCCTTGTCTCAAAAGGGCGAGAAGCTTCTGTAAGGTTTAATCTGGAGAAGATGTGAAGACAGTACAGTTGTTTCACAATTTAATCTTTTCCTCTTTCAGTGATTATAGTAATTTAACAGCTTCACTTAAACTTCTCGCTGAGCTAATTTTCAGCCCAGCTGAAACACAAAACCCAACTTGGGATGGGGTGGAAGAAGTCAGCAGTTCGGAGAGACGTGATTTTAAAACACCAGAAATAGAAAATTAAAAGCTCATTGGAAACTTTCAATAAATGTTGCACAGATGACAGTTGATCTGGTCCTGGCAAAGAGCAGTCAACTAGTTTCTTCAGAGAATTCAGGGATTTTTGTATAATTTCTTTTTCTTTTTTTTTTTAATTGACTAATTGCAAGAAGATAGCATCAACCTTATGATGGTACAAACTAGTGAAGGAGTACAAGTGACACAGAACAGTGCTATGAGTTTTTCTTCTCTGGGCTGGATTGTTTCCAGTCTGGAGAAAACACATTTTAGAGAACAGGGTTAATCACCCAATTTTTAAGAGGGGTAACCATTAGATGGAAAGAGAAAACACCCTCTCCCTGTGAACCACACACTTAGAGGTACACAAACATAGACACTCTCTGTATTAGAGTTTCATCCTCACTGCCCTACCTGGAGACTTGTATTTGGGGAAGAATTTCTGACCAGTTTGTATGTTCACCCCGTGCAGCATGAATGAGAGGTGAGCCATCTCTGACACAGTGCTTGTGAGGCCTCTGTGTGGAGAAGCCGTAGCCTGTGATTCAGATGGGAACTCAGATGGCCCCCTCATATGAACATAAGGCCATAAAATGATTCCGAGCTTGAAAAGCTGAATGAGCTCAAGCACCTTGCTAACTTGAGGCCTACTGTAGCATCTTAGCTGGGTAACAAAGGCTGATGCATGAGGGAACTGTGGGGCTTTCTTCTCCCTAGGATGTATGTGGCTCTTCAATACTTGCCAATCTTAAATTAATGTTCAAATCTGTCTGCTGAATACTCACGTGCAGCAAACAAGGGGGGAGGAAACACTGAGTTTATGTGCATTTCAAAAGCAGGCAATGTGGAAATCATGTTCATCGACAGGCTAGAACATTACTAAAGGTAAATTGACTCAATTGACAGCAGGGAAATATGAGGAATGATGTCAGCCGAGAATCTACTCCTGCATATTTTGCAATATTCAAATGAAACTGAAGTAAGGATTTAAAATTTACATGGGTAGATACTTAGACATTTGCAGCTGTAAGCTTGCAGGTGATGGGCTATAGTGATAGGTACATGAGAGGCATGCCATCAGCCCAGAAAAGGAAATCAAATGGGGTATGACATCTACTACTTCCCATAAGTACCAGCTTTAAGGTAGTGCTGCTCTTACCATAAAGTCCCAGGAATGCTTAACATTACCACTCCTGTGGAAGGAAGCACTGCATGTTTCAGCATAGAAGCTGTTGCTGACAAAAATGCTCAGGCACTGCAAAGGTGCTTTCGTTTGCCTGAGAAGAATTTGTCTGCCCACTGTAAAGGGGAGCAGAAGAGCAGTTAAAAGGAAAAGGAAACACATTTCCCTTCTCCCTTTGGGCTGTCCTTGCTGGCTTAGGGAAGCCAACAACACTGTGGAGTTTCTGAGGTCAGCACCAATGTTGCTGGGGAAGCGGAGGGAGGACAGCATAAAGTTACCTGGCTCAGGACCAAGAAAGCTGTTGCAGAAGGGTCTCCCACCGAGCGTAAAGCTAGTCGTGGCTGCTGCAGTGTAGTCTCTTTCCTTTGGTCTTGCCCTCCATCTGAAAAAACAGCCAACAAGTAATGAAGCACAATTGTACTGGAATACAAATAGAACAGATTTAATACAAATGTTTTCAGGCCTCCTCCCCCCCCAGAAAAATAACCACCAAAAAAGCCTGCAGAATGATATAATTTATTTTCTTGAGGTTTCTGGTATTAATATTTATATAAGACGTGAAGCCACCTAACACTTTGAGGCCACAATATTTAGGTATGCCAGGGAGGTAGCATTGTTCTATTACAGAACTGTGGTTGTACAAAGAACCAAAGTAAGCTTTTTTCCTCAGTTCCCAAAGAAAAAATGTAATCAGTCAAGACCACTTGATACTTCAGGAAGAGGAATGGATTTCTGTCACACAGTGACAAATTGTATTTTTATCCTTTTCTTCAGGAGTGTATCATTGATGAAGACTGTGAAACAGGGAAATACTGCCAGTTCTCCACCTTTGAATACAAGTGTCAGCCCTGTAAAACCCAGCATACAGTAAGTCCTGAATGATATGTGTTTGTATGTGGTCTTCAGAAACACAGTGTGTAAGTTATTGTTGCCAATGTCAGCAAGTCAAAATTGGTAGAAAACATGATACAGAGCTTTCTGCATGAGGTTCAGAAATGGATGTGTAGAATGTCTTGGGTTGGGCTTTTTTTCTGCCTGTTAACACAACTAAGTTTTAAGGTTTCTATTCTTATATGCTTTAAAACCTGCACTCTGCTGCTCCTGACTCAAGCTTGACTTGTTAGGTGACCTAAGGGGAGTGTAAAGACATTGCAAGCTGCCAGTGAAATGAGCACAGAGGAAATACTGTGCCAGCTTCATAGGCTCAGCTGACAGTTGGTCATTTCCAGCTCCTGATTCAGGAAGAGAATTGCAGTAACGTGTTTCTTGCCTTCATTGACAACTTGTACAATGCTAGAGTGCAACTGTTACTGTAAATCATCATCGTAATGGATCATTTACATTATTTGAATGTGTGAACTTCAGGAAGCAGTAAGTTCCTGTCTTTTGAGCTAGAAGATAAATGTTCTTGGTAGTAGCTATGGTTAGATTATCTTCTCTAAGTGACAGGTGCCTGAGAAGTTCAGGCTTTTTCTGTGGTCAAAATCCAGTTTAAGAGCAGTCTGTCGAAAAAGGCCTTTTATCTGACAGCATCTTTTCATCAAAGTTCTGCAGATGGCCTCTTGTGAAACACATTAATTCCTCAAAATGTTTACAGACAATTAAGTCTACAAGCAAGCAAAGCTTGCTGTGAATCATGTAATCAATTGGATTATTATAATCTAAAAGCAACAGGCTATTCCTGAAATGTTTTCAATACTTATCTTTATAACTTCAGGGAGCTCTGTTGTTTTCAGTGAATTCTTGCTTAAATACAAGTCCCGAATATATGCTCAAATGTCATTAAGAAAGCTTACTCTTCATATTTTAGAAAATGTTAAACTGGTATTTTTTCATATTAACATGGAATAATTAAAAATTAATATTATAATGACCTAACACCCCATCTCCCCCCTTTTCTTTGTAGTCCTCAGTAGAACATTTGTAGGCTAAAGAAAGTAAAAATTGAGTTCTAGCTACACTCCTGTTGTAAAGTCAGCTCAGACAGAAGATGGTGGGATCAATTCCCTGACCTAGAACCCCCACAATTACGAAACATTTTTCTTTTTAATTAGCAGGTCTTAAAAGTGCTAGCATAGTCCTACTTCTTGCCCCGTGTTAAGCACTTCCTGTGAGAACCACTGGAAAAGAAATTCTGATTTTGTATGGCTGCCCAGACAGGGCTTTACGCAGACAGAAAAAAGCTGTTAAAATACTGACCTACTAGGAATCTTTAAGATGTTAATCAAACTACCTAAAAAAAGAAACAGAGTGACACACCACTTTTATTAAGTTGATTTATTAGGTGTGTATAGTTGAAACACTGGGATGGTTGTCATACAAAGCTATCTTTAGCTAGAGATTTGCATTTCTGATTTGCAAAGATTTTTTCAAAGAGATTTTTTTCAAGGATTCTTGGTTACAAATGAGGTCTGGTTCTTATTACAACTGAAAATTGGATTTTAGTAAGATTGTTTTGCTTTGCTCTTTGAAAACAATCCTTCTGAACAAACTGAAAATTCCTGAATACATTTAACAATGGGAAAAAATCAGTAATGTTTCCCATTGATAATGTTTCATTTATTAGTTTTTTTTCCTTGATTGCAAAAGGCCATCCTGAAATCTGTATTACATTGTAGGGTGTGTAGCTGCTGATCAATTTTGATGTAAATGCTAAAATAAGAATTAAGGTTTTGTGGGATTGTATAATAGTACAGATGTAAGAATGTATAATAGTATACAAGGAGTGCTGTTACTCTGCTGTGGAGGTTCCTGTCTGGCAAATACTTCTATCTATGCTTGAAGTTGAGAACCCAAGCAGTTATGTTTAAACAGTGGGAATATGACATGCATATATTTATATGACATACATATATTTAAAGCACATATATGCAGTTGTCTTCAAGATCAGGGTCTAATTCTGTGTTTAGCCATCTGTTGATATATGCAGTTAGTGCTAGGGTGACAGTTCTGTCATGTGCTTTTTCCATTTGCAAGCACTGCTCACGGGATGTTGAATGCTGTGGAGACCAGCTTTGCGTGTGGGGTGAGTGCAGGAAATCCACTTCAAAAGGAGAGAACGGCACCATTTGTGAGAACCAACACGACTGCAACCCTGGAATGTGCTGTGCTTTTCAGAAAGGTACAGAGGTTTTGCTTTTTATCCTATTCATTTTGTACTACAGGAGCGTTAGTATTTAGCTCTTCTGCTAAGGTGAAATGGTTAAATCTCTACAGAATCAAAAGGTCATTTACCCTTGGCCTGTGGAGCACACTGTTAACTTCATTATAAAACTTCAGTAGAATTAGGAGTGGGAAACAATCTGATAGGGGTGCACAATGGTGAAAGAAAAGCCTATTGCACACTAGAGATGAGACCAGCATGAGAAGCACAAAAACCTGCTGTTTCTAAAGGAGAGTCTCAGACATTTAGAAGAAACAGAGCTGTGTCAAATTTTCACCCAATGGAGCAAAAATAAGAGAATTAAAAATGGCCACAATAAAGTAATGAGATTACTGAAAGTGGCTTTTCTTTCATATCAGCAAGCAGACCATAAGAATCAGACTGCAGATACATTTTGTACTCCAAGTTTTATATGAGCCTTCCAGGGCACCACACTATGCAGTACTGACCAGACAGCCAAGCTACGCAGAGGAATGATGGTCCAGGTTACATTGTCAAGTCCACACGGTAATGTGAAACTTGATTTACAAAGGGAGGAGAGGAGGAGAAGGTATCAGGCTGGAAATCAGTTCTAAATCCTGCCTGGTCAGGCTTCAGCTTCTTCTACCGTTTTATTCCTGCTGATTCCTCACTGCTTTTGTCATAGTTTACCTTAATTTTGTAGTGACAGGATACAATTCCAGCCATCTTTCTACACCAGGTAGATACTCCTCTAGATAGCTTTTTCCTAGCTCTTGCTCTGAGCAAGTGGTGACCTTGTACCTTCACTGATAGTGGGGCTGCCTCTCCCGCCACCAGCCTGCTGGTGGATCAGGCTACTGGGGCATTTCAGGAAAACAAAGGAGAAAGCTCAAACACCATTTTAAGGCAAGCAGGTCTGCTCAGCTTTTCCTTGTCAATTTTGAGCATTACGTAGTAGACCTTTGATGTTAAGTAAGTTTGGTTTCAGCAAGTTTTGGTTAGAGCAGTTTTATTTCCCTCCTCATCAGTTTCTGCCTAAAGCATTTACAGGTTTTCCCAAGCTCTGTCAGAGATTTCTTTGTATTCTGATTCTGAAATGAGACAGAAAGAGCACTTTTAATAAATGCCTGTTACTTTTATCATGCAGGACTTCGAGTCTCTGCTTATGTTACAGAGATGAGTAAATCAGAAGTATGCATCCATTGGTGTTAGCAGCACTAGGCTGGTCTGCTGTGAGGGTAATACTGATCTGTAGCCCTGATCTCCTGTGGGAGCCAAACAAGCCGTGTGTTCCTGATGATTATTTCAGCTGCATAAGACATTCACAGTAATTTGAGTATGAGTTAGTGCTTGGCTTTAAATGAAATTTAGTACAAGCCTGTAACTCAGGAAGGAACAATACAATAAGAATATTGACTAAAATTGATGGAAAACTTTAGAGCTGTTAATTAATAGCAATGGATTTTAATTCTCTACAATTATCTGCTTTAGCAGTGCTTTAGAGTTTTTCAGGTTAGGCATAACCTCAAGGCCTTTCTCCATCACTAGAGTATCGCAAAAGCTTGTCCTAATAAAGATTGGACTGTATATTTTTATGTATATTTGGACTGTATATTGGACATGTATATTTTTAATATAAAATAGGAGTAAACTATGGAGCATTTGCTGCTTAAGATAAAATCTGGTTTGGAATTAGGAACTGGCAAGTCATATACATTAAAGCATACGTGTGTCTGCATCGTACACACACACATATAATTTGATCAAGCCTGTTTTAAAAACTTAGATTCTGAATTTTTCACACATTTTCTTCTGCCATTGCACAAAGAATGAGGTGAATGAAGACAAGATGAGGGAGGTTCAACAGGAGCATCTGGAAGATCTGAATTCAAGATTGACGCTATAAGTTACTAGTGTCAGGAAACCCAGACAACATATCCTTCTGAATAACTTCTTACACGGGTTGAAATTCACCCCTGTGCAGAAACAAGGGTGCCAAGCCCCAGATGCCACCAGACAACTTTGCCTGTTGTAGAATTACTGTAAGAAATTAAAAGGCAGAGTAGTTCTTATCACCTCGTTATTTAGTCTCTGCACAATTGCTCTGTATTTGTAACCTCTGCAGTGCTGTGCATTGCAGGGGATTCACTGTAATGTTAGTTTTCTTCTTGGTTATAGAATAGTTTTGCAAATCTCCAAGGAATGGAGTTGTGCAGTTCTAGTGTATTGACAGTAGTCTCATCATGAAGAAGCAGGAGTTGATCTTGCTCATTAAGCATAAACTTCAAATGTCTTACTCCCTCTTAGTAGAAAGAACATTAAGTTATGGCTCCGTAAAATGTAAGGGGACTTAAATGAGGTCAAGTCTGTCTTTTTATAGCTTGCATGTAAACTTAAAGATTAGGTCATCTCAGTTTAGCAGACAGTTAATGACTTCCTATAAAATTAATCTACTCTGGCATGCAGAACTGCTGTTCCCTGTGTGCACTCCACTGCCCGGAGAAGGTGAACCCTGCCATGATCCCTCCAACCAGTTCCTCAACCTGATCACCTGGGAACTGGAACCCGATGGGGTACTTGAGCGATGCCCGTGTGCAAGTGGCTTGATCTGCCAACCTCAGAGGTAAGTATCAAAACGGGGCAAGCAAACGGCTTGAAATTTTTGAGGGGTCTCTTTCTGTGGTAAATAGATACAGAGCTTGCAGATTCTTCCACACTATAAAGTGTTTTGACAGCTTTTGTCATCAACAGCATTGAAACTTTCTCAAACTTACTGCTTTGTCCCACACAGATGTGCCGAGTTTGGCAACACCTTACTCCAGCGTGAATTAAGTTTGTGTACCAGGCTGGTACTGCTTTTTAATTAATCAGAAAGTACTAACAGCTGTTGAGATTTATCATTCCAATTTAATTCTCTACATACAGCTCTTTTCCACCAACCTTCTAGGTTAGATTGAGCTTGTGAGACATTTTGCTTGCTTTCACACATAAAATATATTAAAGACATTTTAATACATGCAGTAAGTGTAAACAGGTGTGTTCTTGGACTCCTGATCAGCTTTACAGAAGGTTGCTTCTATCACAAGAAAAAAAAATATCTTTGCTTGTGCTTTCCTTCAGTTTCAAACTAACCTGAGAAGCCAGCTTCCCTACCGCTGACTTCAGATCAGCTGTTCAGACTTGGAACACTTCATACTGTGCACTCCTTCAGTATCACTGAACTTCACGGAATGGGGAGTGGGCTAACTCTGTATTTTCTGCTAGAAGCTAAAAGTTTTAATATCATGCCTTTAATCATGCTGTAAAAGGACAGCATTTACATTATCAGCAATGTCAGCGGGAGAAAGTGAGGTCATTTCAGTTTTGCACTGAAAGCATTTTTAGAAAACTTACATGTTATATATGAAATAAGCTCTCCAGGTTTGTTCCTACACTACCATTTTCATTAACTTCCAGCAAGACAGCATAGCTGTGATAGAGATCTAGATTAATATTTCTCTCTTCTGTGTCCAACTCTGTCTCTACATTTTTTTTCATGCATAAAAAGTAATTGGATAACATTTTGTTTCATAAATGTGATCTAAGGAAGCAAGCAGAGCTGATCCCATCCTTTAAGCACCAAAATTTTAGTTAAGTACCGTAAGTTTTAGCAAGTACTGTAACCTCAGGGAAGAGATGTCAACAAATGTCATGTCTAATAAGAGGGAAGACATTTCAGATGAGGATGTAGAAACACAGAAATTAGAGTGTGAATATAACTGAACTGTCCAGCTATAAGTCATAAGAATTATTTAACTGTTTAGGGTTATCACAAATACAGTAATACTGTGCATACCATCTGCCCATGACTCGCATGGACAGTAAGGTAAGGCTGCTTCTGTGAATTTACATGGTCAGTGTGAAGATTCAGGTAACATTTTTTATTAAAAGAAACAGTCCGTCTCTGCTTGAAAGGGCCCTTGGCTAAGTGTTACCAGTGAGCGATGAACACTGAAACGACCAGATTCTATCCTAAAAAATATGGGGATAGTCTGCCCACAAATGGAAGTCTCAGAACTCCTAGAAAGCAAAACAGGCAAGAATTCAAATCGTACACAAAATAAGCCTCAGGAACAGCTTTAGTTCATTCACCCTTTGTTTGCAGTGAATGAGGCTGCAGCTTTCAGCGGTTGTGGCGGGGAGCCTGCACAAGCAGCGCTCACCTTGCACTGCCGCAGCGACCTGCGGGCCTGCTCCGTCCCAGGCAGGGCAGAGAGAGCAGAGGCACTGCAAACAGGTTTGTTCCCCTGGCTCCTGTCAACAGATTAAATCAGTCTTGTTCCCTTTTGAAGTCCCTATAACAAACAGGGAATGGTTGTTTGCAGACAACTGAAGCCACTTCTCAAAACAAAGACAGCAGCAAATACAGCTACTGCACTGCCCTGTTTAGAACCAAATATAGAATGCTCACAGTTTTTCAGTTTTTTCAACTCCGTAGTTGGATGGCAACAACCTTTTTTTTGCATTCCTTTTAAGCTGGAGTATCATATTTCTTAACTTGGTATTACAACATGAACAAAAGACTAGTCACCATGAGTGCTTGTAGGTAGAAGGGCCAGGTTGTGCTGATGTCCACTGCCATCTTGTGTCCCAGTAACATTTTTTGCTATTATGATCTTTATTCTATCTCTGGATGTGGAAATCTCATCTTTTACTCTCCAGCTGTCAAACCTGTAAAAATCAGATGTTTATCAAGTCCGCTAGGGTAGATCTGACAGTATTCTGCATTTAACATGCTTTCATGTGGGAAGAGAGTAAAGAATTTTATTAAAGAACTAGAAGATCATGAAAAGATGTGCTGTATGACCAGATGTCTCTTTTTCCAACAGCCACAGCACTACATCTGCGTGTGAACTGTCTGCCAACGAAACCAGAAATAATGAAAAAGAAGATTCCTTACTGGTGGATGAGATGCCATTTCTCAGCTTGATTCCCAGAGATCTTCTCTCTGATTATGAAGAAAGCAGTGTCATTCAGGAAGTGCGTAAAGAATTAGAAAGTCTGGAGGATGAAGCAGGTTTGAAGCCGGAGCCTGACTCCGTTCCTGACCTGCTTTTGGGAGATGAAATTTAAAGTCCAAACACCAGACAGTTTAGTTAGTTATTTCTAGAAATTTTTGTCTAGTGTCTTGCTTATATAAACCCTAAACACATACTGCTGGATAGAAGTGCAATAAACAGGGTCTTCAGTGGGCATCCTTCTCTGTGCAACAAACCTGTATGTTCAAATTATTGATGAATTCATTCAATCTTTGGACCAAACCTTCTGTCAAAGGCAAATGAGAAATATATCAGTGTTGCTTCTGCATTAACACTTTCCCCTTGTACATTAGAAATAAACTTATCAGTACTTGTACTCATTAAAAAATACACATAAGCATACATTATCTTAAGTTATTAGTGACCGTGGAAGTGACTTTTAAGTACGTATGTTTAGAATTGTGCATTTTTCTAGGGTAAGAACCATCTACTTTGGACTGGTTTAGTTACTGATTTTAAGCAATTTTGTATTTTTTTCTTTAGCAAATATAATCAGTGAAGCTGCGACATACAGACTGTGGGTGTCATGTTCCTCCCACCACACACACACTGTGAAAGGGCAGAAAAGATAAAGGATGCTCACCGTTTCAGCTGAATATACCCAGAGCTCCTCTGCAGCTGTGTGCAATGGATGCCATCAGTCCCACAGCAGCCTTCAGCATAACTTCAGAACTGGTGTCCCACAGCAAGAGTATCCCTTGAGTTTTATACTTTCATGTACAGTGGTCATTGCCCACTACATAAGGGGCATACTATCCAAAAAAAGCCCACAACAGTTTCCATACAAATACCAAATAGTGTGAACATACTTATATCTGTGTAACACATTGGTTTCTATATAGGAACTTTCAACTTGACTGTTCAGGGCTCTACCTCGCAAGGGCAAAACATACTATTTAAAATTGCAGAACAAACAGCTGACTGGGATGAATACAAAGAACACAGATTCTCTGTTGTACACTTACATAAAGTATCAATATACGGGAGAGCAGTGCAGCTGCAGGTACAAGGCTGTGCCTAAGCTCGAGCCAATTGCAGCGCCAGAGGCGTGGCAGCATGCTGCGCGGCCTGAACACACCTCGGGTAACGCTGGTCAAAGGATCTGCAGACTCCACTCCATCACCACCCACCCTCTGAGAGATAGAGGCAGTGAACATAAATGACGTCGGTTTAGCAGTAAGACAACCGAAATTGCTTCTTGCATTTAGAGACTTGGGCTTCTCCTACTTGATTGTATCACATCCAGCGAAAATTGAGAAATGGTTTGTGCTTTTAATACACTCCATAGGCATAAATGTGTGTGTGTTACAAAACATGATTATTGTTACCATCTTAACAGGTCACTGATTTTAGAAATCCATAGCAAGCAAAGAGTAAAATCTTACCCACCACCAAACTCCCTGGCTCCCAGCTGGCTCAACAGTTTGCTACAATGGGTCTTCCACTATTAGTGGGTTTTTGGGGGATGGATTTCACCATCTGTTGTTGCACATGGTAAAAGATGACATGAAGCTCCAGCCAAGTAACTTTTCATGGAGCTTCTTTCCCAAATAATCCCTACTGTTTATGTCTAATTTGGAACAGTAGCACCAATAACTAAACAAGAGCAGCTGTAAGACTGTGCTACTAGCCTGCAAGTCTTTCACCACTTCTGGTCCACAGAAGCTTTTTAACAAATCCCTTGAGTACCAGAATTAATGTTAATAACCAATATCATTATGAACAGGAGGGAAATTTCATCAGAACAGTCTGACTTTAAGGATTTATTACTACCACCAATCCTCACACCAACACATGCACAGGCTCTCCAAGTTCACTGAATTTACCTTCATATCCCTAATAAAATTACTGTGCTTTAGAGACAGCCCATCTATAAAAAGAGAAATAATTATCATTGCAATTTTCCGGTTAAAAAAATACTTCATGAGAGCAATAACGGTGCATAAATACTGCTCTACTTAAGGATAACATTATTCTCCCTTCAAGTTTCTTGACGCCTCAAGTGTTAGTATTCATCAGAAGCTCAAGATTTCTGCTGAACTGAGCAAATTAGAAACTCAAGTTTTGTTTCTTTAAAATGTCCATAGTAAAAAATGTTTGAAACTATCATAATGTAAAACAAATGCTGAAAAATGTCTCCCAGAACAACTCGGAATACATTCCAGTACACTTCTGCAGGAGGAAGCGCACCACTGGTCAGGAAGTCATTCTAAGGATGTCCCTCAGTTTTCTATCCAGATTTACACCAAGACTTAGGGGTTTAAAATTAACTTCTTGAAAGAAGTTTTCAATGGAAGTTCCCCAAATAGGGCTGGATTAAGCAGTTTTTGGAGCTCTTTCTTGACCTTGCTTTATTCCATCTCTAGATTTTTGCCTCTCCCAATGTCCATTTGAAGAAGACTGATGACCCGTTTGATAGTTACCATTTTTCTCTCTTCCAAAACTTCCACGGCTCCTTCGGCAGTCTATGTCCATATGTAAATGGTAGTTTAATGAAGTACTCCACCAACTGGGTGGTACTCACTCTACGCTTCATTTGCTCCTGCCTCCACCTCACCCATGCTGGACAAGAAGTGGCACAGGTCAAAGAGGAGGAGGAGGAGGAGAAGGGAATTCCTCTGCACAGCACCTGGTTCCCAAAGCGGTCAGATTCCTCAGGATTTTTAGGCTGCTGTGGGTCAGCATGCAAGGAAGAACTCAACATTCAGTTATTGAAAATTCCTTTTCCTCTCTGGGACAGAACTTAGCTGCCATTCATATCTGGAGCTTAGACGTTTCACCAGTGAGGAATTCAATTCTGGGAAAGGAAGCTTACAGCTGAAGAAAAAAATCAGTGTAAACAAGCAGAGGAGCAGCAGACGGGCTATAAAACACGTCCTGTAATACTATGTACATGTGAGAGGGGTGTGTACATGCACACACAGCCTTACAATTCTGACATTGCCTTGGGAAAGTCTATTTTCACAAAATAATTCCATAATTTTTTCAAATAAAAACCACAGCATTTAATGATTAAAATAACACAACAGAATGAACAAATGTTTTATTGGCATGTTCATTGTTGTAAACAGCATCTGGCATGAAAAAGTTTACCAAAATCTTTTGATTGTTATAAATTAGGTGGTTTTCCAAAAGCTACAGAGAATTGTTCTCTATCGATCTTTATGGACCAAAGCAAAAAAATTGCTGTTCCTAGGCTTTGCAATGAAATCATGTTGACTGTATCAGTCTTTGCATCACAACCTGAACTACCAAGTTTATATGTTGAGGTGTTAGAGGTTGCCCCAATATTTGACTACATATAGCTATGGAATCAACTCTGGGAAAAATAAAATGACTTTCAGTGAGTGGAGAAGATGCAAACTTGTAATAGTCTCAAAAACAAAATGTACAAAAAGTAGCTGAACAAAAACTTCATTAACATGGGGAAATACAACCCTAAAGTACCCAGCATCATCAAACATAAAATGAATACAAATTTAAATAGGCAACTACACTTCCAAATGTACACAACTGATGTTGATATGTGAAAAGAAATACCATGGTAAATAGCTGAGCTGCAGGTCTGTTAAATGGATAGGGCAAATTTTATTTACACGTTGAACGCAATATAATAGAGCTGCTCATCGGCGTCCGTAACCTATTAAAACCCAGTTTACCTTACAGCAGCACTTCTGCGCGATGAACCACCACCTGCTGGCAGCTTTCTGCAGACACCTCTCAGACTACCTGTTTTATGGAAGAATATTCTAAAACCTTGCACTTGCAGTGCTTCCATTTCATCTTCGACCCTCTGCTGCTGCTTTTCTAGAACCAATGTGTTAACATTTACTTCAGACTCTCTGATGAGGTAATGCGTGTATCAGTGAAACAAACAGAAAAAAGGATTCTTTCATGGCCTTTGCACAGCTTTTATTATTAAGCTATGAGTATCCTGTTTGAGGCTAGTTTCACTAGCTACTATGTGCACACTGTCCTCAAAAATTTCCACTCGCTTCCCTCCCCTCCCACTTTTTAGTTCTAATCTTTTATTTGCACATCCCTTTTAGCTTTACAGTACATTTGACTATAGTGCACAACATGATTCCAAGTCAAACAGTGACCCAACGGGGCACTGCGCTTCTGATTGGTAGCACAGCCCAATCAGTGCTGGTGTCAGCGCTTTACACCTAATGAATGTCCTGCCGTAATGGCACTACACAGTAGTAGTGAACCTTTTTATTTTAAACAAAAAAATTCCCCAGGGAAAATGCTATAGCGAGTATCAGTCTTGAGTCAAGTCTTTATTTGGTGCTCCATCCAGATAAATTTTTAGTGCTTTTTCTTTACGAGGAGAGTAGGTTACTCGATGTCCAGTTTTCTGGAGTCTGCTGCTTTCTTTTTTCATCAGTTCATTTCTCTGCTCATCTGTTAATTCCATTAATTCTTCAGTTTTATCCCTAAAAGGGTAAATATATGTTAAAATTCAGATTGATACAATAAGCATAATTAGATTTCTCTAATTTTTTACCTGGAGCAGCAACTTGGTAAAAAACACAACTAAGCACAATACTCCTTACAGATGATTTTCTTCTCCAGAAACTAACAATCTGTCTAAACCTGCTTTTTTAACAGAGACATTCAGTGTTCTAACTGACAGCAGACCCAGGGGAAAGCAGCAAGAAACAAGCCTCTACTCCTCCCATCTAGCTGGTAACTCCTGTTCTTTATAGACGACGAGGAGACTGCGCTTCACTCGGTCGCAGTGCCAACAGCTGGAAGCAGCACGTCAGCCAGCCCCGACCAGAAACTACCAGCTGCTCTCCCAAATAATTCACTTCAAGGCCAGCACATTACCAACCAGCTGTTTCCCCCAAACTCACATGTAGTTATGAAAAATACTGTCAGAGCAATGTGTTCATGAGGTTGCCCCACCTACCAAGTTTAGCAGAAATGACAGTATTCAAGCTCTCAGTCCTCAAACCCTGCCTTTGGGCTACTGCCTCCAGCTGATGAGCATTCCCATATTAACAACATTTTCATCATAACCACCTTTTTTCCCAAGAAGCCATACAAATTTTTCGAAGAAATAAATACAGAAAATAAAATCCTTGTTCTCTAAAACCTATGGCAAGACTCTCAGACTCCAGAAGGGATATGGTTCTACTTTAAGAGATTAAAACCAGACAGATGCTCAAGCATAGCAACCAGTTTTGCACTCAGCATTATTTTTCAACCGTTTGGGAGGGAGGATTGAGCAAAAGGATGCAGCGTTTGTTTTCGTAAACAATAAACATAACTAATGCTCAGGGTTTTAGGAGGCTGAGGAGCACAAACATTTCAGCTTAATGTTTTAAATTCTC